GTCCGGAGCTGAGTGTGGTTGAGCACATGAAGCTGTAGGTGCGAAACTTTAACGAGCTCTCCGCTCAAGCAACCCACCCGCCCGTCCCCCGCCAACGGAAAACCCGTGGCTTTTTGTACTGGGACACGTGCTTACGCAAGTGCAAAAGGAAGGCTGCGCCTGTCCGGAGCTGAGTGTGGTTGAGCACCTAATTAGGGTCTAGGGTTTCAGGGTTTAGAAGGTTCAGCATAACAGCTTATGGGACAAGGCCGAAACCCGGGTTTAAGGGTCGGTGTTAGAGACTCTTCCGGCAGTCTGTATTTTCGTGAGATACGACAAGGACATTTTTCTCATGGTCTGGGATCCAAAGGGTGGGTGAGTATGCAGTACCGCAGAACCGCTCACGCTAGGTAATGCCCGAACTTCTGGCGCTGAACCCCTTTTTCCTATAGTCACGAGAGGAAGCTTTCGGTGAGTCGTCCGGAGGAGATTGCCGACGCTCTGGCAGATTATGGAAAAAGCCCGAAGCAGGTAGAGTCTCTAGCACCTTGGTCGCGCGAAAGATGGCAGAGTATGTACGGTTCGGAGTGGAGGGTTTAGGGTTTAGCAGAGACACGTGGACGCTCTGGCCAGGTAACCGGCATGCCCGATGATCATGAGCTGGATCTTCAAGGTTTTCTGGGGGTGCTGGCTGACAGCCCCTCTTCCAATCCTTCTCCTTCTTCCAGCCCTTCCAAACGCGCATCCTTGCTGAGCCGCGTTTCGGAGCACGCTGGACGCCACTTCACCGCGCTCTCCTCCTTGGTGTCTCCGGGGACCTCGGAGGAAAGTGCTTCTGTGAGAGTGTTTAGTTTGGGTTGAGGGTTTAGGGTTTAGGGTCTAGGGTTTAGGGTTTAGGGTCTAGGGTTTAGGGTTTAGGGTTTAGGGGTTGTAGGGGTCTTTTGGTTCTGTCTCTATTCAAGCCCCTTGCAGAGGTGGCATGAAGCTGCATCGAGGTATTGCAAAAAAAAGAGCCGGAAAGGTTAGGTGATATACGGTGCAGCATTAGACTGTGGAGACGCGGGGGCGGGAGCACCCGACCGAAAATTCGATCCTAAACCCTGAAACCTCTGGGCAGGAGCAGCTGAGAGCCAAGTTTGATGAGATCGACGTGGACGGCAACGGAAGTTTGTCCCGGCAAGAGGTTGAGGCAGCCTTCCTCCAACTCGGGAGGTCGGCGATGTAAAGCTAATCGGGCAATTCTGTCACGTTTGGGGTTCGGGTTTAGGGTTTAGGGACGTAAGCCCTAAATCCTAAACCCTTAACCCTGTGCAGCTCCATGTTCTATACCTATGCCCCGCATGCTCATGCAGGCAAGCTTGAGCCACGGTTCTCTGATCCCAGAACTGAATGTAAGCCCTATGCCCTAATAAAACCCCATATCCTAAACTAGTACTCTCATAGACCCCTTCAAGAACCCTTAACGGAACCCTGAAACGAACCCAACGGAACCCCTTGAAGGATCCCTTAAAGGATCCATTAAAGTTCGGCCTTTCTGCGAGGTCACGTGCCGAAGTCGAGCATGAGCTGAATCGATGGCCTCTAGAAGACGGCGTGGACTTCCGAACGTTCCGGCTCATGGCCACTTCACTCGGTTTGAGGGTTGTCAGCGTTTAGGGCTTTGAGTTTTTTTTTCAAAGCGTTTGATGCTTGTTAGGGTTTTAGGGTTTTCAGGTTTGGGATTTGGCTCATATCAAATTGTGGTGCATCGTTGTCCTGGCATCATGCACCACCGGCTGGGTACGAGGTGAAGCGTCCAGGCAGCAGCACTTGGTTGGATCTGCCCGGCATTGGCCTTAAGGCGGGCCGGTGTAGCCCTGAACCCAAACCGTCGCTGCTGTCTCCCGACAAGGATGGGGATCTGCGGGATGCTTTCGACGTGATCGACACGGACAAAAGTGGGCAGCTGATGGGACGAGAGGTGATGCCAAGCAGAAGTTACTCTTCGCATTGCTTGTGCATGCAGGAGATTGCTGATGCACTGCGTGAGCTGGGGAAGAGCCAGAAGCAGATTTCTCGTTTGGCCCGGGTCTCAGTTTCTCCGGTTTTCTGAACCCAGCTGCCTGATGCCTCTGATCAAACCCTAAACCCCAAACACTCCTTGGAGGTTAACGACCTGCCGGAGGAGTGCCGCCGCATGCACAGGGACGATCCTTTCTGTACGCCGAAGAAGTGGGACTTTCCGAAAAGTAGGGTACCTTATTTTGGGGTCCCTATAATAAGGATCCTACTATTTCGGGTACTATATTAGGATCCCCTATTTTTCGGAAACCCCCAAGTGGTGAGTAGAGGAAGAGTTCTTCGGTGCAGGACCAGTTCTTGGACTTCGAGGGATTCCGGCAATTGGCAAAAGGGAGGTCCCTTGCCAGCCGCTTCTCTTGGGCCCCTTGTGCTGCAAGCTCGAGCTCTCCCAAACTCTTGAAGCCCTAGACCCTAAACCCCGAACCCTAAACCCTAAACCCCGAACCCTAAACCCTAAACCAAAAAAAAAAACAAAACCCTAAATCCTAAACCCCAAAACGAAATGCTGCCGGGGGCGGGCTCTCATGCGCCTCTGGGAGGCCTCGCGCGACAAGTCGGGTCCCGAGAGGATGACGGAGGTGGGGTTTAGGGTTTCGGGTTTAGGGTTTGGTGTTTCGGGTTTGGGGTTTCGGGTTTAGGGTTTGGGGGTTCGGGTTTGGGGTTTCGGGTTTAGGGTTTGGGGTTTAGGATGCTTTGAAGAAGACTTCGCTGTCCTGGCGGTTTAGGGTTTAGGGCCTTGCGGCTCTTGGGGTTTAAGGTTTAGGGTTCTGGGGTTAGGGTTTGAACGGACTTAGATATTATTATTATTATTACTACTGTTTGTATTATTATTATTATTACTATTATTATTATTGCTAGTAATAGTACTATAACTATTACTATTAATATTATTATTCTTCTTCTTATTATTGTTATTGTTAGTAAGGTTTTGGGTTTAGAGCTGTGGAGCCGAAGAGGAGCAGCTGTGGGCCATGTTCAGCAGCATCGATGCCGATGGAAATGGCAAGCTGTCCACAGCGGAGATCGAAGAGGCGAGGGTGGTTTCAATGTTTCCGTAAGAATTTCCCCCCTAACCTCCTAAACCCTAAAACCCTAAAGCCTACAGTTGCCCTTAAGCCCTAAACCAAGTCCACCCAAGCCCCCTAAACCCTAAACCCTAGAACCCTAAACCAAGAAAGCCCTAAACCCAAGAACGCGGGGAGTGCCTGGGGAGGCCCTCATTGAGCTTGGCAGATCCCAAGCGGAAGTCGAGCTGGAGCTTCGACGATGGCCTTGCGAAGATGGAGTGGATTTTGAAACCTTTAAGCTCCGTGCCTAAACCCTAAACCCTCAACCCTCAACCCTAAACCCACCCTGAATCCTCAACCCTGAGCCCCTAAAAACCAACTTGACACCTGTAAGCCTTGCCCCTCGGGCTTGTGGGTTATGTCATCGTGTAGCTGTTCAGGGACCATACGAGGATACGTCTGTGTCAAGGGCTCAGATGGTGTTGACCTCTAAACCCTTAACCCCAATATCCCTAATAGAAGCCTGTGCCCTAAACGCAAGTATAAGCCTAAACCCTAAACCCTAAACCCTAGTATAAGCCTAAACCCTATAAACCCTAAACAATAGTATAAGCCTAAACCCTATACCCTAAACCCTGAAAAAGCCTAAACCCTAAACTTCGTACTCCAGGCTAATGACCAAGCCGCCCAAAGTGTCGTGGCTGCGCGAGCTCCCGGGCCTTCGTGCCTTCACCGATACCGTCTCGGAGTTCTTTGGTGTCTGGGATGTGCACAGACGTCGTTGTAGGTTTGGGGTTTAGGGTATCCACTTCCATGACTTTTCCGCTCTTCTGCGAGGCAGCTTCAGCGACGACGAGCTCCGGGAGGCTTTCGAGAAAATCGATGTGGAAGCTAGGCCCAGGTTCGCATGACAGGGCATCCCTCTTGCATCCTTTCTGATACCGGCTTTTCACTAAAGGACAACAGCGGAAAGCTGGAGATGCTCGGCAGCAGTTTATCTGGGCGCTTGCAAGGCCCTAAACCCGAAACTCTGCGCACCCCGGATGTATCATCCGATCTGTGTAGCAACTAGCACGACATGAACCGATCAGATCTTTGCTCCACCTTTCGGTGGGGGTGTCAACGTGCCCGGTCTGTGGGATTTTGGAGCGCCCTATAGCATTCAGGGGACGGCAGAGCATGATGCCGAAGCACGAATCTGGCACTTGGGGTTCAACTCAAAGATGAAGTCCGCGGCAGCAAAACGATACCGTTCACCCGGGCGTTTCACTTGCCGCCCCAACCCCGGGGCCAAAGATGCTGCCAGACCATCGGATTGCTGCAGCCCGGGTGGTCCACGATGATGTAAGATGCTCGTGTTTTCAGAATATCCGATGCCGGTACATTCATGACTGAATGCTTGCTGCCAGAGCATCCGATTGCCAGAGCCGACACCAACAATGATGACATCCATGCTACAAAGACAACCGATTACTTGGGTGCCAACGGCAGCCACGACGCAACGATCAGAGCATTCAACCCGCCAGAACACTAAACCCTAAGCCCTAAGCCGAGAACACCAGTCACTACCTAGTCACTGGACCGCCGAAGCTGGCACAGGGCAACTTGAACCCCCAGCCCTGCAGCGATGGCAGAGTGCGGTGCATGCTGTGCTTGCGTGACTCCCCCTCAACAAGCTCGCTCGGAAAGCAGTAGATCTCATCGGTGAGCGCTGTTCTTGTGATCCTATAAAATATAATATATAATTTAATATATTACAAAAAATAATATATATATATATATAGAGAGAGAGTATAATCTGTGTCCTGTCCCAGGAAATCAGAGCTTGCGAAGGCTCTCCAGGAAATGGGCAAGAGCCCCTCCAGAATCGACGGCTTGCTCGAACGGATGCCCAGCGGCCAAGAACTTGCACGAAGCTCAGTGTCAGTGTCCCAGTCCGAAGCTCAAAGTTCAGACATTTAACTGACCATCTGCGTGATTTGCACGGCCTGCAAAGGACTTCGAAGATTTCCGAGAGCTTGTGCCCAGACTGAAGTTCTTGCTTGGAGCCTCCTTGCTTTCGAGCTTAGCGCCAGCAAACTACGAGAGAGGGCTTAAAAAGGTGTGCCTAGGTGGCTTCTCGCTTGCAGGTGAAGCCGGCCAAGCCGTCACTGCTCTTCGGTGAGAGGACGCCCAAAGCTCGGCGGAGCGAGACTGCCAAGAAAACGGTTAGATGCTGGAGCTTGGGGTCTAGGGTTTAGGGTTTAGGGCTTGCTGTGCAGATTTAGATTGAGTGGTGCTGCACCACATGGCCTCTGTGTAGCTGCAGTGGCTTCATGCTCCTGGCCGGTTGGCTCAGAGCGGGGTTTGGTGGCGATACCCATTGCAACACCATGTCGCCAGAAATGTTCCGAAGCTTACACACCAAAGTTAAGCTTGAGACTACATGCAGCTTTTGGGCAGCACTGTCTGCTAGAACCCTACAGCACAGAACAGTCGACTTCATGTAACGTGCAACAAGACCGTCGGTCGAGCACGAATGTTAATTTGTACTTTGCACCTCGTCTTCGGATTGCAGCGCAGGCAATTCGGGAGTTCTTGTTCTTGTTCCTGAACTGATGGTAGACAGCAGTTGGTAGATGAGTCAGTCGGTATACAAAAAAAATTTCTGGCAGGTTGCTTGTGTGTTCCAATGTTGCGCACAAAGCCCTGAGCAGGTGATATGCGAAAAGGGCCGGCCGCTTCTCAAGAAGTTTTGGCTTTCGAGCTGTTCATGATGCTAGTTTTGTAGCTACTGAACACTTGTCTTGATCGCTGGGACGATGACCATGGACCATGGTTGTTTTGAATTCCCGAAACCCAAATAGCCAAGTGGAAGAGCAGACTCCCAGGGCTCAAGGCATAAAGGGTCAAGCTTGATTCCCGAAAGCCCAAAAGCTCGAAATCACAACCCCCAAAGTCTTAGACTAAACCCCCTAAACCCCCTAAACCCCCTAAGCCCTAAACCCTTAGACCCTGTTATAAAGCAGCCCTAAGGTACTGCTGCTCCTATCCATCGTGTCTGCACAGCGTGCTGCGCTTGTGGATCGGTACTTGCTGCCACTGCACACAAAAGGCAGGAGTTGTCCGTGTCACAGCAACTAAACCCTAAACCCTAAACCTTATAACCATATAGGTTTAGGGTTCAGGGCCACTGAAACGGCTAAGAGCTGCAACCCCAAAGCCTGAAGGCCCCAAAGCGCCGAAGGACTACAGTCTTAAACCCCCTAAAGCCCCCAGACCGTGGATGTGTACACAGATTGCTTGAGAATCACCCGCATAGCAATTTTTGCTCCCTTCACAGTTTTCCGTGGTCCGTGTAAGTAGACCTTACAGTAACCCTAACCCTTGTGGTATCACTTTGTAACCTTTGTAGCAACTGGCTCTTCTCGTAAGCCTGCACCCTAAACCCCTAAACCTCTAAAACCCCCAAAACAAAAAAACCCTTAAACCCAAAACCCTAAACCCCCAAACCCCTAAAACCCCCAAAACCCCTAAACCCCTAAAGCCCCTAAACCCCTAAACCCCTAGATCCCCTAAAAGCCCCCTATTTTCACTTCGAGCCCGGCAGGCCGGTACATTGTAAACGTCAACAATGAGCGGGCGGCCGGGCGGCAGCGGCGATTAGGGTTTCGGGTTTCGGGGTTTCGGGTTTAGGGTTTCCGGGTTTCGGGTTTAGAGTTTGGGGGTTTAGGGGTTTGGGGTGTTACGGGTTAGGGTTTTAGGGTTTCGGGTTTAGGGGTTAGGGGTTTAGGGTTTGGGGTTTAGTGGTGTCTGCGCACTTGGCTTGTAGGTTCCGTTTTGGGTTTGGGGTTTAATTTATGGTTTAAGGTTTAGGGGCTACCGTAAGCCTAGTTTCAGGTGGTAAGGGTTACTGTGTAGGGTTCCTTTAGGGGTTCAGGGGTTTGGGCTCTAAGGCTTTAGAGGTCTTTCTGTGTACGGCTCTTTCGGGACACAGGCAGTATGTCATGATCAGAGGTTCTCGTCTTTGCATGTCTGCAAACCCTAAACCCTAAACCCTAAACCTAACTCTTGCTACTCAGGTAAAGTGGGCTTGCATCAACTGGGCAGGCCCAGAGAGGGCCGGCGTCACACTCACGCCTTGCCTTGTTCGGGCCCTAAACCCTAAGCCCTAAAACCCTAAAACCCTAAAACCCTAAAACCCTAAAACCCTAAACCCTAAACCGCCCTCATTTTCTCTTTTCTTGTCTTGCCGACTTGTGACAGGTGCCTACTCCAAGCCAGCCGTTGTTGGAGGTCTTGAAGTGCAGGCTACTGTTCTTGCCTGGGTTCTGGCTACGGGGTTGATTCAGTTTATTAATTTTGTTAATTCAAACCACCACAATAACCAGGAAACCAGATTTTGTTTATGGTAGATTCCTACTATGGTATCTTCAATTAAGTTCCTGAGCCAGAGCCAAGTTGACCAGCGACACGTCGCGCCGCACAGAGTGTTTTTCGTGGAATCTTCGCAGAGTTTTGGAATTTGATATGGATGCGATCGGAGCACCTTAGGACGGAGCGCCTTAGGACCTAAACCCTAAACCCTAAACCCCCAAACCCTAAACCCTAAACCCTAAACCCCCAAACCCTAAACCCTAAACCCTAATCTGTACAGCAGTTCAGCTTCCTTTGTGCCAGGATCTTGCGAAGGTGGCAGGACGAATTCGTGAATTGGGCTTCAACTGCGTGCGGCTTTGCTACAGCACGGTGTCTTGAAGGCATTGCTGAGTTTCATGGCCGTGCTTCACGAAGAGACTGATGGTCCTGATGAGTCTTTTGGGATCGTGCGCTCTGCACTGCTCTTGGAGTCGCTGAGGAAAACCACCTCTCGAATCCTTTGGTTAAGGATGAGGAGAGATGCACAAGTTGGGAGTGTAGGCTTGGGTCTGGGGTTCTACATTACGCGGGGGTTTAGTGCGGTAAGCGGGTGTTTGCTGTTCGCAGATGACTTCTTGCTTTTCGTGTTCTTCCTGGCGACTACTCTATGAACCAAGACACCAAAGTGACATTACGGGAGGGATGCGATTCTGCTGCCTTCGGCAGGACGTCGCTGCGAACCCGGATTTGAAAGGAAAGCGCTTCCTCTATGTATTTCAAAGGACTGTGGAGGCTGCGATGTGCTTTTTTGTGGATAAAATGGCCTCCATCCATCTGCAAATTTATGAACATAGCGTACCCCACTATAGAACCCTAGGTGATACCATGCTTGTTTGTAGGGAGCCCTAGCCAACTCAATTGTAGAAGCCTAAGTTGTAGGATGCCAAATATGGGAACCCTCCCATCTGCTCTTGCTGCCAGGCTCTCACCAAGGAAGGACTGATGGAGCCCTGACTGTTTAGCTTGAACGTAGTGGGGATTTGGAGTCAGGGGTTTAGGGTTTAGGATTTAGGTATTGGGGATTAGGGTGTAGGGGTTTAGGGTTTAGGGTTTAGGCATTGGGGTTTTGGAGTTAGGATTGAAGATTGAGGGATCAGGGCTTACGGCTTGGGACGGAGGGTTACTTCTAGGTGTTCGGCGCCCCGCTCCACGCCTCCAAGCGATCCTCAGGTGATCCTGAACAACCACATCTCCAAGTCAGGTTGCTGGGCTACGCAACATCAAGGTTTAGGTCTATGGCTATATTTTTGGTTTAGGGCTTAGGGTTTAGGTAATATATATATATATATATTTTTTTTTGTATCAATCTGTATGAATATCTTTATGGGGATATCGCCCGATGTGTGTAGTTTCTTTGCACATTCGAGATTCTTATTCGAAGAGTGACCGGCATGCTTGTTGCAAACCCTATTTACTCTAAATTTCAGAAACCTCGAACTTTGCCCTACACCCGGTAGACCTAAAACCCTCAACCCTGACTCCACCCAAAGCCGTAAAGCTCTTAAAGCCCTACAGCCCTAAAGGCCTAAAGCCCTAAGCGCCTAAGCACCATAACTCTTTTCCTGACATGTTGGGCTTAGGGTAACATAGATGCCCGAAAAACTGCTACTACTATTCCTCAGGGCCTGCTTATTAAACGTATACAGCAGCAAGCCCCCAAGCCACATTCGAGTTGGTAAGGGCCCTGTACGAAGCCAATTTGGGTAGTTCTCTGAATGAGGGTCCTCCTTTTTAGGTCCCCGATATAGTACGGCACCCTTATAAAAAGGACCCCAAAAGGGACCCTAATTCAAAGAACTAACCATATGCTATCCCCTTGTAGTAGCAGAGCCTTAACAAAATTTGCAAGAACCCGATTCTAACACTTCAGGCCCCTCACACGATAAACCCGATAAGCCGTACAAAGGAGCCCTTGGAAGGAGCCCTTTCAGTAGTTACTCCCAAAATCCAAACCCCTAAACTCCAAACCCGAAGCCCTTCTACACCTTACACCCTATTCCACTTATTCCAAACCCGAAGCCCTTATAAACCTTAAACCCTTCTCCACTTATTCCAAACGCGAAGCCCTTATAAACATTAAACCCTTGTCCACTTATTCCACGCCCGAAGCCCTTATAAACCTTAAACCCTATTCCACTTTATTAAGGCTGGTGTTGCAATGTGAAGCAGGACGAAGGATTCTGGCCGCTTCGCCACAAAGAAGGGGGGGTGGTTAGGGTTTAGGGTTCAGGCTTTAGGGTTTAGGGTATAGGGGTTTAGGACATGGGGGTTTAGGGTTTAGGGTTCAGGGTTTAGGGTTTAGGGTTTAGGGGTTTAGGGTTTAGGGTTTAGGATATAGAGGCTTAGGGTTCAGGGTTCAGGGTTTAGGGTTTTCTCATCTTCGGGCTGTGGATTTCAGTGCCTCGGTCAGCGTTTCAGGCTGTAGGGTCTGGCCAGTGCGAAGCGCAGGAAAGTAGAGCTCTGAGTCAGCTCCCTTTGAAGGTACACCGACCTATATCCCGAACGGTTCTGGATTGAAAGCATCGTCGGCATGACGACACTCTTCCGGATGCCTGTCTGCGAGTCAGCGGTGGGGATACAAAAACTAGTATGGTTTCCTTCTTATGGTAGTTTAGCATAAACCCGGCAACAAGAGCCCAGATTAGGGCCTCCGGTGTTGCAGGATCTGAAATCAGGCAGCAGACGAAACCTTCCCATGCTTGAACCGGAAGAAGCACAAGTTACACCAAAGCCCTCAGCCGGATTATAGAACCCCTTATAGAACCCTTAAAGGAACCACTAATGGCATCATATGGAGATCCTTCAACCAGATTTTCGAATCCTTCGTTTCTCAAAGCACAAGGATTTGCTAAGCCACTGTAATTCATTGTTTAGGCGTTTTCCGGTTTAGGGTTTAGGGCAAGTTTGTGTTGGATTGCAAGACAGGGTTCTCACAGGGCTTTCCAGAAGTTTGTTTTTAGCACCACTTCGTGTGAAGTTCTTCTTGAAGTTCCGCACAGAATGTCCGAAATCTTGTCGGAAGGGTTTTCCTTGTTCATCACAGGCTGCTAAGTTCAGTCTGTTGTATGCCACCTAAGGGCTCAGGGGACTTAGTAAGTAGGGTTACAGTTAGGGTTACGGTGATCCTAGTAAGAAGCTAACTTATGAACTTATAGCGTTATTTACTAAGTCCCAGGGGCCTTTAGAGCACTACAGACAGGAACAACAGCCTCGTTGTGGCCTTTGACATCCGGAACGAGCCGCACGACATCCCAGGCCCGGTAAGCCTTGTTAAGCAACCATGCTTGAAGTCCCCTGCTCGCAGAGAAGCATGATGAAAAATCCCAAACTCTAGTATATTATCGTGTTGCATAGCATAATATTTATACCGCAGCGCATAGTCTAATACAGCAATTACGGCCTAAACCCTCAACCCTAAACCCTAAGCCTTTATGGGGAGGTCGCCAGATGACATGGGGTACCGACGATGCAGCGGACTGGAAAGCTGCAGCGGAGCGGGCAGGCCAGGTGCCACGGATTTTTTTTGCTGTCCCCTTTGCTGAGGAACTCGGCTTCGGAAACCACTCTGGCAGGGTTTGGGTGCTTTTTAGTGTTCTTGAGTTAAACCGGGGGTTTTTAGGGTGTGCAGGGTATTTGAGGGCTAAGGGTTTGGGCGTCGTGTCCTGCGAAGGAAATGCTGTGTTGGCTGCGAATCCAAACTTGCTGATCGCGGCTTGGACAGAACATCGGGGCGTTCATCAAGCCTGCAACAGTCCAGATACCACAGTCGTGTGATTTGTTAGCTTCCACCCGAAATATGGGTAGTTCTCTAAATCAGGGTCCATGTCGGGGTCCTTTTTACAAGGGTGCCGTACTATACTGGGGACCCCCAAAAAGGGACCCCAACTTAGAGAACTACCCGTATGCAGTCTTACTCCTCAGAGAACGACCTGATGCAAACTGATATCCGAAATGTGGGTTTTTCTCAAGGACCGTTTCGCAAGGAGGGACTATATATATATACACACACGTGTGTATAAACATATATATTATAATACCATATCATATCATATCATATCATATCATATCATATCATATTATAGTATATTATATTATAT